CCACTGGCATTTCTGGGCTCAGTGATTGGTTGCCAGGGGACCCCTCCCCCCCACCCCCACCTCCCGCTCAGCAATTGGCCGCAGACGGGGCAGGGGGTGTAAATGCAAGTATTGGCCCCTGGGTGCTGGACACTACTGGCTCAAGATGCCTTATTCTTCTTCATCTGTTTGTTGGCTTTTCTCACTTCCTCAAGGGTCAGAGGGATTCCAAGACTGCTTCTGTCTGGATGTTGCAGGATGGAGTTGAGAACACTCTCAATAAAAACAGATGCTTGACTGAGGTGGTCTTCAAAATGCTTCTTCCAGTGGGCACTGGTGGATCAGGTCTCTTCCATCCTTAGGTCTCAAGGGGATTGATCCCTGAGTGCTTGGACCATAGATGGCTTTGGTGGCATTGAAAAAACTACACATCTTATGGATATCAGCCAGATGTTGAATCTCCTTTGCCTTGTCTTCCCATCATCTGTTCTTCATATCATGGGTTCTCCCCTTTGAACTTCTGCCTTGGCTTTTGGATATTCATTCTGCCAAGCACAAAAGGCCTTACGTTTGTGGTTGATCAACTCTTGGATCACCCAGTCATTCCCATCAACCCAGTCTTGATGTTTCCTGGTAGAGAATACATATGTCCCTTTGCAGGTGCTGATGACGATGGACTTGAAGGCAGCCCAAGCACTGCTGACATTCTCTCACTGTTGTTGATTGTAATTCACCAGTTTTTTATTGAAGCACTGGTGGAAGAGGTCTCACGTGATTAGGTCCTTGAGTCCTTTGATGCTGATCTTCCATTGACATGGGTTCTGCTGCAGCCATCATCTGGGAGCCAGCTTGAATGATTTAACTGAGCAGATGAGTCATTGTCCAGCAATCATCAGCTCAGATGATGCAGACATCTTTGCAATCCCAGCCATGAACAATAACATAGTCAATCAGGTGCCAATGCTTAGATTGCAGGTGTTGCCATGACATCTTGTGCTTGGTTTTTTTTGGTGGAACAGGGTGTTGGTGATGGTGAGCCCATGTTCCACTTGGTCAAAAGGAGGATGCTGTTGGAGTTGACCTTTCCTACTTCTTCCTTGCCAATGGTTCCATGCCAGACACTTGAGTTCGTTTCAACTCTGGCTTTGAAAACACTGAGAAGAATAAGTCTGTCTCCCTCTGGAACAGCAGAAAGGATTTGGTCATTGTTGGCATAGAATTCCTCCTTGGTTTCATTGTCAGCAAGAATCAGGGCATACACATGGATAACAGTTTAAGTTGAAGAGTCATAAGGTGCTCATTAATTCAGACAGGGAACTCACTGAGTTGTTTTTTTAGATCATTCTTGAGGGCAAAACCAACTCCATGCAGCCAGCATTCTCTTTCCTGTTTACCATTCTCCAGCCACCTCCATGTTCTTTGAGCTGCTCTTTTCCCATTTGCCAGGTCTTGCCAAGTGCATTGACATTGATCTTGTGTCATCTGAGCAGCAATTGCGGTGGCACTCTGGGTTTTCACTATTAGGATTGTCCATGAGGGTCCTGATGTTTCAGGTCCTGAAATTGATTGTGTGGCTTTGCTGATTTTGACCACAGTAAAGGTGATCCCACTGGACGTGGTTATCCAGTCAGGAAGAAAGTTGACAGGCATTGTTAGGGCACTTTTTTTAACCCCCTCCCCATGTGGGGTGAGCAGAGCAGAGCAGATCCTGAAGAGGGCCAGTCAGTTGCAATTACAGTTGCCGAATCACACTTCTGCCTCATCCAAGTGCTAGACAATCTTCTTGTAATTGCCAACTTTGTGATGGTTCATGACTAGGAGCTTCCAGACCTCACAATCCTGCTCCTGTCATCACTAGCTGGTTGCCAAAGGTCTTGAAAAATGTTTTCATGGAAGATTCTTGTGTGTGATTTCTTTTACTGTATAGAAGCTGCTGCACATCAGCTTCCACATGGACAGAACAGGACCTTAATTCAATGGCTAGGAGGTCAAAACAATTGGAGATCTCATTCCACTGCAGCCTTCTTGGCCTTCACAGCCATTGAGATTCTAACATCTTCTGCCTGCTCTGCCACTGAGGACTTGTAGACCCATGGCTGGGGTCTGGGCAGGCTTAGTATAGTGGTGACCTGTACTCACCAAGTCACAGCACCATCAAATAATACGTGCAGCTTTTCAGAAGGGAAAGCATTGCCATCTGTTGACCCCACCACATCCTGGTGTTGCTGCCCACTGCTTGGTACCATGATTGCTTATTTGTCAGAATTACCCCTGTTTATTTCACAGCTAACCTTTCCTGTAGGTCATTCCTTTATCTACCACCTGTGGATGTGCTGGGTAGTAAGTGTGTAAGTTACTACATTCTGAATGACCTGATTTGGGTATGTGTATGTTCAAAGGGCATATGTACATCTGAAATTGCCATACATAGGCCCTGTATTGCTAACAGCTAAAAGAAGATTCTCCTTTAGTTCCAGAGGTAGGTCCCTATGCTTCTTGAAAGAGAGCAATTCATGTTCTCTATCTGCAAGTGCTTAAAGTTCCAAGGGGCCATGATAGTACCATTATGGATTCTAAAGGTAGCTAAAGATGTGTTACAACACAATCATTTTGCCTTCAGCTCATCTCAGAATACTCAGCTAATCTCAAATTTAACAAAAAAAAAAAAAATCAAGACCATAATTTTCAATAGATCTGAAGGCCTGAAGAATCCACTATGACTTAGTCTGGCATAATACAGACTACACAATGCCACCTGTAATACCCACACCACACCTCTTATGACAACACCTTGCCTAAGTGAAAAGAATGGACTCAGGTGCTAGAAGTCTAATAGAAAAGTAAGATGTCTCTAATTTCTCAAAGGCCACCTAGGGAAGAAAAACATGGCATGGCAACCTGGCTCCCTTCAAAATCTGAGCATCTATATACACCCCAGCCTTATCATTACTTCTTCTTAATGTTCTCTTGCTTCATCTTTCCAAACCTCCAGACGAAAGCAGCATCTTTTCTCCAGGTTAAACATGGAGAGCCAGATTATCACTTTAGTTGCACCTGTGAAAATCCAAATAGTACAGAGTTACTCCACATTTACCAGGAACCAAAATGAAAATCCAACCTAGCAGCTTTTTGATGAATCATTCTGTTTACTGGCATTATGGTGGTGTGGGGAAAGAGGGAAATAATAGATATGCCACACCATCAAAACCTGTCAAATATACTTTATTAATTTAAAAAATCCCTGATTATATTTTTAATAATGCATGCAGAGTCAATAGGCCTAGCTCACTCCCTATTATAGCACTAAAAACAGCATTTCCTTTAAAAATGGAAAAACCTGTAAGAAAATATTCTGAGTTCTGCACATAGTTTCTTCTCCAATTCAAGCAGAAAAGAGGGGTTAGAAAGGTAAAATGAAAGTTAATCAAGCACTACATGATGTTGACCATATAGGGAAGACAGTCAAGCATTGAGAACACTATGATGAGTTATGTCAAAGGCTTCAGATAAATTGAATGAAATCTAGACAGAGGGCAAACATTAACATTTCATAATAAATAAGTCACTAGGAAGTGTAATTAGGGCATTGTCAGTGTAGCATGCCAATCTAAAGATGAACTGACAACAACGAATCCAATGAAAACAGTAAGACTTGGGTCACATCACACCAGCTGCAGAAACAATCCTGGAACAGGTAGAGACAGAGAGTGACTCATATTTCACTTATTCAGCGCTCTAAGTCAGCATTGAAAAAGCATGAAATATTACTGCTGTAGGCAACAAAGTCCACTCACCTGCTCTAACTATGATTAACGTGATGATAACAATAAGCCATGCTCATATAGTAGTGGGCATTGCTAAGGCAGGCCTTTTTGCAACCTACAAGAAAGAACCTTTAATTTAGCTAATTCCTGCTGTGAGTTCAGACACAAAACATCTGTGACAACCACGACTGCTTGGAAAAGGACTCCTGTAGATGCAGGGAGCTTCATTAGGCAGAAACAGTTGGAGAACTGTGCCTCATTATACTGCACAGACAAAGTCAAGAGGCCAAAAATAGGACAGTGAAAAGGATCTTACCCTCAAGAGAAAGCATAGGGCTGTGGTTAACTTGAACTGCTGGTTATGGTCATCTCCTAATGCAGGGGTTGTCAACCAAGGGTATGCGTACCCCTGGGGGCACTTTGAAAGGTCCCAGGGCATACGCGGGGGTAGACGGGGGCAGAGCGCCACCATCCTGTGCCACTGCCTCACAGGAGCAGGGCTGGGCCAGGGCAAGAGCAGGGCCACACAGACGCTGTGCTGCCGCCGTTCGCCACAGCCCCACTCTGCGTCTGGCCACTTGCCATGCCATGACCCCCTCCCATCCCGCTCGGTGGCTAGCCGCTTACCACCTCCCCCCACGGGTACACTTACTAAAATGGGGGCTGCTGGGGGTACACTTATTAAAATAGGTTGAAAACCCCTATCCTAATGCTTTCTAGATCTAGATGGTACTCTATAGGATTACATTTTGTACAGCAGCAGGAAGCAGGGAGTTGGCAGTACAGGATAAAAAGGCACCTTGCAGGACTGCAAGAAGATTTCAAGCAGGCTCTGATTATCCACAAGTCATATATATGTAACACCCCCACACATACTGGGTTGTGTATTGTGTTTTTTGTGTGCATATTTTGATATGGGCCAGACGGCTCCTTTTGCTCTGGCCATGTGCTCAGCACATGGCAAGCTGGGGCCCCTATCTGAACAAAATATGTAAAACCCTGTACCCTCACTAGGCAGAGAAAGCTGGAGCTTCTTCGGGCAGATTGGTGGCGAGAAATACCCTCCCTGATTGGAAAAGTTTTGGGTGATATCACCCCATGTATATAAGGACCACTCACTACCGTTCTCTCTCTTTCTCCTGGGGCTATTATTCATCTGCCTGCTGAGAGCTGCACAGCTACATTGGGAGCCAGAAAACCTGCTCCCCATGGAGGGGGGCCCCCCCCACACACACATTTTTCACTGAGAGGCCAGCAATGCTTTTTGAAGGGAAAGCCTCAGGTAGAGGAAGAGAAAGTTTATTTTGGAGTTTAAGATCCTATTTCCTCCTTCTTTGCCCTGTTTTTTTCTTAAGTGGGTTAATGCCATGGGGCTATTAATCCCTGAGCAAACTACCCAGGAATGGCAGCTACTGGCTACAGGGGCCTGCTCGCTGTTTTGTAATTGTATCTTCTCAGCGTGGGGTATAGCTGAGACCAGATGCCCAGGCCACCGCCATAGGCCTGGGCCTTTTTTGTCTGCTGTTTCTGCAGCTATGGTGTTTCTGCAGCAGAGCTGGGATTGGGACTAGGAATTTAGGGGTGCAGCATGCTGTCTGGAACCAGAGTTAAGCCCAACAGTGGGAACTGCCCTACAGCAGGGGTGAGCAAATTATGGCTCGTGGGCTGGACTGGGTCTTTGTCTGGGCCAGAGAAGGCCTCAGTGCCACCTGGCCCAGGCACCATCTAGCTATAGCACATCCTGCTGTCCCTGGGCCTGGAGCGGGGCTGGGGTGGCTCTGCAGCTGGACTGCCTTTCTAGGCTGCCCAGGCAGCGGCATCTCCTTCTGGCTGCCGCCACCACAAGCCCCAGCTCCATAGTACTTGCAGGGACCTGGCGCTGCACAGCCCCAACCCTGCATGGCCCATGCCTCCTCTGGGCTCACAGGTGGGCAAGCCCCACCTGCCTCTCCAAGGCTGTCAGAGGGGGAAGGGGGCAGCATGGAGCTGCCAGCTGGGCTTTCCCAGGTGGGCGGGGGTGCAGGGTGGAATGGAGCCCCCTTGCCTTGCAGGCCCCCCAGCTGCCCCAGCTGGAGTATTAAGGGGAGTCAGGCTGGACCCATGAGGCTAAGGGGCTCCGCTTCACCCCCCCAGCTCAGACCAGCCAAAGTAGTCAGCAGCTGCTCAGGCCAGGAAAGCAGCCAGAGGCCTAGTCAGAGCCAGGGGTGGAAGGTGGAACAGAGTCCCCCTCACCTTGCAGGCCTGGCTCAGCTCCCCCCCATACCCCAGCTGGGGTCGCTGGGGGGGGGTGAGGGGACTCCATTCCACACACCCCACCTCCAGCTCAGGCTGAGCAAAGCCCAGCTGGTATCTCTGCTTCCTTTCCCCTCTCTCCCCCACTGAGAGCCCCACCCCCACACAACAAAAAGAACCCTCAAAAGACCACAAGTTCCCTAAGGTGCTGTGCTTTAGAGTGCTTTTATCTAATACTTGATTTGACAAGAGTTAATTTTTTGTACAGTCAGACATTTTTAAAGCCCTTTGCAGCCATGCACGTGTGCTATGTCACAGCAGTAGATCGCTTTCAGGGACCCAAGCATGCAAAAAATGTAATTTGTGTAAGCGTCCTGTATCTCACCTAAGCCTGGGTTCCAGAACCTGAATACTTTTTTGCCCATCTCGCCTGAGGGGCTTAACCCCCCAGGCCTTACCAGAGTACACCTGTGACATGGCAGTAGGTTTGAGCTCCCATAAAATGCTGTGATGACTGCCACTTTTGTTTTTACCTAAGGTTAATAAAAATATATAAATGGCTTTGGGACAGACATCAGAAGACAGGTCTTCCCTCCCCCACCCAGTCATGCTCCCTTTCATTCTCCCTTTCTGGCCAAATGAACCTTCAAGACTTCTGCACAACTTCCGCGTAATAGCTTCACCACAACAGACTAAGGGCTCTCCAACCACAAAACAGTCTGTAGCACTGTGAGGTCAGGGCACTCTGAAAGGTTACCTTTTGGGATGGATCCCTTGCAGATAGATGAAAAGATTGAACTTACATATTCCACTTATTGCACAAGTTCTCTAGGTGATTGTGTAAAAAGGAAAAGATGCCACTGCCACTCCCACCTCCTGCCCCCTCTGCTTTAAAATGAAAGTAATGGTTTTGAGCTTTGGGTCCCAAGTAGACAGAGAGATCTGCCCGGGGCACTGAGTAAGACTCCTCAGCCATGGAGAGGACGGGGATTTAAGACATGCCCTTATCCTTTGTTTTTCCATCACTGGCTTAGGCAGAGTAGGCATTTGCTGTTCTGGATCCCATCATGATCTCCAGGCACTGTACAGAGACCTGACATGCCTAACCCGAGTTTCTACACCAGTGGCTCTCAGCTGGAGTGCCATGGTGCCAGTGCTGCTGCTATGGTGGCAGTGGGCAGATAAAACTGCTCCACATGCAGAGCTGTTGCATTATGGCTCTCTGATCCGCCTAAAGCTGACAGATCTGGCTCAGGCTGCCTGTTCCCAGTCCTTTCCCCACCTCCCCCAGTAACACCTGGTTAAGAAGTACTGAGAGAAATTGAGGCAGGACTCACAGTAGTTCTCAGCTGGGGATGCTGCCACCTTCAAAGTGTTGGATAGGTGCCCTGGCTGAGTACGTTGCAAATCGCTGTTACACACAGTCATAAAGTTTATGTTTTAGTCACCCTTGGTATCTCAGAAGAGACTTTCAAAAGAGGTACTAATAATGAAAGTGGTTTCATTAATATGATTAATGATGAAACCACACATTCATTGTGCATTTAAGCGCCAAAGAGCTGTCAGGGGGTGATGGCTTTTGGTCACTATCAGTTCAAACCAGTATTTAAACCAGTGACCTAGAAGTGAAAGACACTATATGCTCTTACTAGTGCCCTAAGCACTGCAGTACATAATTATATTAATCTAGGGACTCATTGATGTACATTAACCCACTGTGAACTATTTGCATACATCAGTGGGCTCTAAATTAAGTGGAAGTACTCTGGAAAGACTATAGGAAGCTTATATTAAAACTTCTGATCAATGTGCAGCTGCACGCTAAAAAAAGCCAAGCCTATATATGAGGAGTGTCAAAGATATGGTCTGCAGACATTTCACCCAGCTCATGGGTCTCCTAGAGGAGTTGGGCAAAGTAGTAGAGGGGCCTGATATCAATTACCAGCTACAGAGCCTGGCTGGGGATGTGTGTTGGCAGCAGGCGGGTGAGCAGTGTGTGTGTTACCAACGCTCACCCCATCCCAGATGCCCCATCCGGATCCAGCACTTGAAGCTTCCTTTGATTCTGACCCAGCCTGTGAGGAGTCTTGCAGTCCAGATCTGGCCTGGGGGCCCAGGTGAGTCTGAAACCCCTGCTGTACATAGAAGACTGAAATAGGAAATAATGCCATTAAATAATGGGATAAAAAAATGACATTGTGAAGACATAATTATGCCAGGTGTATACCTGATGCTGAAATGCTGCATTTAGAATTAATCAGCCTAAAAATAATACATAAAATGGTTCAGAAAGGAAGCAGAAAAGAGGTACACGTTGGATGTGTATAACACAGTAACTGGCATAAAAAAGGCAAATCAGGTGGTCTTGCTTTCTTAATAAAGGAATTAAGTTAAAAGGCAACATATTTAAGATTGATAAAAAGGCTTATTTTTAAATATATAATGCATTATCTCTGGAATTCACTGTCACAAGCAATTAAGAGTAAAGTTCACAAAAAATATTAAATGTTGATGCTAGTTGTTTCCACACTGGGCTCCGGGGAGCGCTAATGGTCCATAAGATCACAGCAAGTGTCCCACAGCTGATCCACAGACCACAGCAGGCCTCTACCTTGTTCAATTAAAAGTTTGTTGATAAAGATGTATGATAGTACCTGACAAATTCTGAAAGTTGACAGGGGCTTATCAGTCCAAAAATTAGGACTCACTGGTTTACATAGACAATAAAAATACCCAATTTACATGAAAAAAGAATTTTAAAACATCCTCCTCTCAGACAGACATCAGCACTCATGCTCCAGTGTTATTATCCAGCCATTGACAATGTTTTGGGAAGCTTCTTTCCAGGTAAGTCATAGTATACTATGCTTTACTATAACCATAGTATACTATGGTTTACTATAAAGTTGCTTACACCTTCTGCTGAAGCATCTGATCCAGGACGCTTTCCCAGTCAGGATGCTGACTAGATGACTGTCAATCTAACTGTAAAGCACATCCAATGCTGTTGCACATTTTGCTATTCACAGAGCTGCTACTTCATTTTGACTAGGCCATTATTCCTCTTTAGAGGTATAAGACAACACAAGTCAGTATAAGTTCAAAAAATACTGGGCGTGTCTAAACATGCAATTAATGTGCATGAATAAACCGCAGGGCTTATTGCTCTGGAGTTTTTTTGCGTGCTGCACATGAAACCCAGTGGGAGCAGCCCAGGCTGGCAGGACCCGGGGATCTAGGACAGAAGTTCAATAAACAGATTTAATCTCAATCAGTTAAATCTGTTACTGTATTCATCTAGCTTTATCTAAAACCAATTTCAGTCATTTTGAAAGCAATTTATGTGCACTGAACTCCTGATTTGAACCAGTTTCCAATCTCTTATCCTGGTTTATGTGCATCTTCTGTCCCCAACCAGAGTGTGGGCCTGCCAGCCCCAACCTGCTCCAACTGGGCTCTATGTGCTGCAGAGGGGCTGTCTGGGGTGCGAGGGTACTTAAGTGCAGGGCTAGCCAGCAGGCAGCCCCCACCCTGAAGCACCCTCATGCCCCAGCCAGCCGCTCCACAGTACTTGGAGCCCCAACTGGAGCATCCCAGTGCTGCTCTCCATGTGCTGTGGAAAGACTAGAGCCACTCCACAGCATGTGGAGCCCCATTGGAGCAGCTAGCCCAGGGCTGGCTCTGATGGGGCTCCCACAGGCTGCAAAGCGGCTGGCTGGGGCACAAGGGTGCTTCAGTCCAGGAGCTGCCTGCCAGCTAACCCTGTGGTGAAGTGCCCTCATTCTCCAGCCAGCCCTGTCACTGTCTACTCGTGTGTTTAAGCACAGTAATTTACTGTACCAGGAGATAGTGCTTGTGTCTGATAGGACTATCTAATGGTGCAGTAAATTAGTCTGCACCAGCCTAAGTGCTGCACATGTGTAGACAGTGACATTTGACTGCACAGTAAATTAGTCTACTGTGCAGTAAAGCAGACGTGGAGACATGGCCACTGCCCACAAGTCTCTCCTTTGTACCCACCAATATGAAGTACAGAGCTTGGTCAGTTTGTGAAAAGAATTGAGATCCTTTCCAATCCAGGCTGCACTGGATGGCCCAGAAGATCCCTTCTTGTCATTCCTTCTTAAATCCTTGCCATAGTGGAAAATACCTTACAGGTTCAGTTTTCTAAGCTGCTATTACAGTTTTCACCAGAGAAAATCAACTTAAATTATTTCTGAATTTTAACTGGTTTGCTTGGGAATGCAAAACACAAATATAGAAAATGCTCTTTACCTTTATAGTTTAGCTCAAAAAAAAAAGAATGTCTTATGCACTGATGCTTAACAGCATTCCTAGCCACTGGCAAGACATCTGTGTTTATTAAAATAACAAAATATGAAATTCATATTAATTTTCTGTTTGATCATAATTTGAATTTCATATTAGTTAAAATGTTTGTTCAGATTTAGCAGCATCTGTCATCTGAAACCACCAATCAATATTTTATTCATCATATATGATCTAAATCCACTGAGAGCAAGCTGAAGACACAGCACAGAGTTTAGAAATGTTACAATTAAAATATAGCTCAGCATTTTCAATCCAAATTAATTATCTCCTGATTTTTTTTGCATTAATTCCATATCCAAAGGCGATGAGCTGCATTCACTGGCCCAATTTCCATACTGCTGCCATTATATTTTTATCAGTCATAGACACAAAGTGTAGGAGGGCGTAAATTAGAGGACTATGAATCTAGCACAGGGCAAGATTGGAAAGCTCCTATGTATGCTGAGCAGCATATCACTACACAATTGAACTAAATGGAAAAGTTGCTATTCTGCATATATAAAAGTATCACAATTGGCCTAAAGTGATTAATCAGCCTTTGACCCTTTGATGAGCTAGCTAAAAACTTAATAATTTTCCCTCCTGCAAAAGGTCAAAAGCAAAACAAAAACAAACAAACGGAAAAGCCACTTCTTTCTTCATACACACAGATTGTACAAAATAAGAAATGCTTTGACTGAATTATGGAAAATTGTTTTTCATCTTCCATTATTTTAATCATAATTTAAATCAGCAAGCAGCAAACCTCAATTTAAATAATTTGCATTTGTATTCTTTTTGTTATTTTCATAAAGAAATGCCAGTTCTCTCTGGTTAGTATATTTGTGTTTCTTTTTTGCTAACCACAGGATACAATATGATTATATCCATTTATTTACACAAGTACTTGGCCTACCATATATGTATTCAAATCCTTCTTTTCCCATTGCACTAAGTCAATTCTGAATTATATGCTTTTTATTTGCTAGATGATGAGGGGCTTTTTACATGAGATTACTGTGAAGATACTTTTAGAAATGGAAACTGAAATTCAATTAAAAATTCACAAAAATAGCATTTTAAAACTATTTTTATTATTTCAAGAAAAAATATTGCTGAATAACTAAAAAAATAATAATGCTGAAGGGCAACCAGCACGGGTTCGTAGCAGGTAGACCCTGCCTGACTAGCCTTGTTTCTTTTTATGACCAGGTTGCAAAAGGCTTAGATGCAAGGGATGAGGTAGATGTCATCTACCTGGATTTTAAGATAGCCTTCGATACAGTATCTCATCCTATTCTCATAAATAAACTGAATGGCAGTGATGTAGATGATTACATGGTCAGGTGGGTGGCAAATTGTCTAATGGGACACACCCAGAGAGTAGTGGTCGATGGGTCGGCATCGACCTGGAAGGAAATGGGCAGTGGAGTTCCCCAAGGTTCGGTCCTTGGACCGGTGCTGTTCAACGTCTTCATCAGTGACTTAGATGAGGGTGGAGACCACTCTGTCCAAATTCACAGATGACACCAAATTATGCGGTAAAGTAAACACACTAGTGGGCAAGGAACCATAGGCAATGCATAAAGGATGCACACAGGTGCACATGCACCCTCTGAGCTTGGCTGTGCACCCCCAGCAAAAAGGTGCCACCAACGCTGCTGGCAATGCCTGCAGGCAGTCACCGCTTGCCACCCCCATCATCACTGCCAACACTGCCAGCACCATCTGCAGGAGATCCCCAATCGCTGCTGGCTGCCACCGCCACTGCCGGCGGCATCTGCGGATGGTCACTGACCACTGGTCGGCACTCACCACACCCTTCCCCCACTGCTGCCAACAGCGCTACGGCTGCCTGCAGGAGCTCACCGCTCACCGCCGCCACCATGCACCCACCACTGACAGCGCCACCACCACCTACAGGAGCTTGCTATGCCCCCCCAGCCTCCGGGGGCATGCAGCGTTCATGCAGGGAATTAATCCAGGTGAATCTGGAGAGGTTGGAGAAGTGGAAAGAACAGAATAGGATGCAATTCAACAAGGACAAATGCTAAGTGCTGCACCTAGGGAGAAGGAATCACCAGCACACTTACAGGCTGGGGGATGACCTCTCAGCAGCACAGCAGCAGAAATGGATCTTGGAGTCACAGTTGACTCCAAGATGAACATGAGTCATCAATGTGATGAAATGATCAGTAAAGCTAACTGCACTTTATCATGCACGTGCATGACAAACACGTCCAGGGAAGTAATACTTCCCCTCTGTGCAGCACTGGTGAGGCCACAGTTGGAGTACTGTGTCCATTTTTGGGCACCACACTTCAAAAGAGATGTGGATAACCTTGAGAGGGTCCAGAGGAGAGCCATTCTTATGGTTAGGGGCCCGCAGATAAGGCCCTATGAGGAGAGACTGAGAGACCTGGATCTCTTCAGCCTCTGCAAGAGAAGGCTGCGAGGTGATCTTGTGCCCATCTATGAATTAATTGGGGTGGGCCAGCAAGGTATAGGAGGTGCTCTGATTACCAGGGCATCCCTTGGAGTAACTAGAAATAATGGCCACAAACTGATGGAGAGCAGATTTAGGTTAGACATTAAGAAGAACTTCTTTACAGTAAGGGTTGCCAGAATCTGGAATGGGCTTCCAAGGGAGGTGGTGCTCTCCCATGCCTTCGGGGTCTTTAAGAGGAGACTGGACAAGCACCTGGCTGGGGTCATCTGACCCCAGCGCTCTTTCCTGCCCGGGGCAGAGGGTCAGACTCAATGATCTGCTGAGGTCCCTTCTGACCCTAATATCTATGAATATTAAATATGTTGGACAAAGGAGGACAAAAATCAAGCTCATCAAAATATGTTTTGCATTTAAAATAAGTGGATTGGTTAAACAAACAAAAAAACCCATTATCTGCAATTGGTGCAAGATTTATAGGGCTACCAAAGGAACACAAGAGGGAGGGGAACATCTACACGTGCTATTACTGCACAGAATTTAACTCCAGAGCTTATTGTTCCAGATTTATTGCTCCTGGGCACACCATTTAAACATGCACCTGGGAGCAACAAGCTCCAGAGTTTATTCATGAACAGCAACTAGAGCTAGGTTGAAGCAGCCCTGCCTGGCAGGGGACTGTAGAAAGCAAGTCACTATGCAGAAAGAAATGAAAGATTTATGAGCACAGTAATTCAGAGTACTTGCCTGGGAGGTTTCAGTTTTTGTCTCTAGTCTTCTATCAAGGACTGCTTAACTACAAGCCATACAGAAATTGTGGGACTATGGACCAGAACTTCTCCCGCCTGGCTGAGTGCTGGAACCATTGTGCTACAGCCCCTGGCTTCCTTAGGCATCTCTACATGAGAAGTTTACTGAGCAGTTGACTAATTAGCTGTACATTAAATGTCTTGGCATCTATATGTGCACCCTTAGACTGGAGTAAACTAATTTACTCTGCAGGAGGATAGTACTTATAAATACAAGTCTTTCCCCATGAACTGAGGAAACCTAAGAACCTAACTCTGTGTTTTGCATCCCACTCCAGGGGCCCAGAAGTTACATGTTGCAGCATCTAATTGCTAATTCTTGTACTGGATCTAGCACTGAGCTGTCAAACAAACTCTTCTAAACTGTTCCTGTATGGGATGAAGTCAAACACTACAATCAAGAACAGGGAGCCTCTCTCCCCTGCATTCTTAATAACCCTCTGCTGGCATCTTGTGAGTGTAAGGGAAAAAGCCATCTGATTCAAATGCAGGGGAGAATAAAACCCAGCTGGGAGAAGGGAAAGGAGTGAACTGGGACTGTAGGGAAAGGGAGAAGAACTGGAAGTGACAAGGATACCAGAACTGGAAGCCATGGGTGAGGGGAGAAGCTGGGAAGAAAAGTCTTTCTTTTGGCGTCTAGTGCTTGACTCTCTAACCATAATGATGTTTTTTCAACACAGTGTATTTGCATATTGGTAATTGACTCACTGGTGCAGGAAGTGCCATCTAGTTTTGCGTTGTTATGTAAGTAAATACAAATTCCAGAGTTCAGTTAATGAATGCTATAACAAAAACAGGTTTTTCTTTATAACCTCAGATGGATACAGATACCTGGGAAGCATAAGGAAACAGCAAGACAGCACTGATTAGCATGACAGGTTGTGCACTGCCTACAGAGCAAAAGAAAAAAAAATAAGACTGCACTGTCAAAGAGTTCAATAAAGGTTAAATGATTATAGTGGATGGTGATGAAATAAGAAATATGTTAGAGATATGAGCAGTCTATGTTGCAAGTCAGCTGCAAACATATTAGAAAATTTTATAGATGGTTAAAAGCAATGATTATAAACAACACGTTGGATTCTATATCGATTACCATTATTAAAGCATCTACTAATCATTGCTAACACTTGTTATGATCCTTAATATTAGTCAGACCACATTAGGGCCTGATGGCTTTACCCATTTGAAAGCATTTTGGGCCAAACCATTCAAACATTTTCTCACCTTAGAAAACCATTTTAGATACTGTTTAAATCAAAAGTTGTCAATAAGCAATGTTATTCCAGTGCTATAGACAAGGTGTAATATTATTAAAGCTGTTTTCCAAATCCAAGCTCCTTGCCACACAAGAGTTAACACTGCTTGTAGATAACCAATAACATGTTTTCAAACCACCTTTAAAATTAATTCCTCTTCTCTCCTTTCACAGTCTTCAGACATCCTTTTTCCTATCCTCCTTTAATTACATTCCCCTCAGGATGTATAGAGTGAATAACAATGAAGCAGATGATACAATTAAATTAAATGCCGCAAGCTTGGCCGGACACAAGATAATATCCTGCATGATGCTGGGTGCCCTCAGCCCAAGATCAGCCCCTTAGAGCCATATTATGAAAAAGCAAGCACAAAAGAGAAAAAACTGTGCTTATTAATATGGAAAAGGCCCCAAAGAGGGGTACCTCTCCCCTTACAGATAAGAGTATTACTGAACCACTAAAATGGTCAATTGAACAGAACATCATTGCAATATCAATTTTCAATTAACTAGGACATCATTGTAATATACATTTCCGTCTTTGACTTCTATCATCCTATGAAAATCAATGACTATGACATTGGTGCATATTAGCTTTCACATATTCTGAAGTTACCGTATTCCATAACTGGTGAAGCCAATAATGGACATTAGAGTATGCTCTTTATATGTTACTTAATAATTTTAAATAGACAGATCCCATTTATATGTAATTAATTGAACAGAATGGTTGGAGATGTTTCCTCTGGCATCTTAACAGAATGGTTGACGATGTTATCTTTGGCATCTCTAAACCAATAAAAGGTGGATGATAGGATACTGGGCTAGACAGACCATTGGTCTTACCCAGTATGGCACTTTGTACATATATATACGTCAAATCATAACAGAAGAGATACAGAGTATGAATTCCGTAGGCCAAATCCAGAGATGAATACTGATGGACACTGGTAGTGCTACATAGCAGCTTTGTGCGTTTATGGTATCATTCAGACAAAAGATTTCAAAGCATATTACCAATAATGAATAAACCCCCATTACACAGTGAAGCGATCACTAAGAAATATCTGGGGTGAAACAACAGCTGCTTAGCAGCACAGAGTGACACTATACTGTACAAAGTTTAGGGAAGGAAATGAAGAATGTATCTGGAAATGCAGAAGGAATGTAGGGGAAACATAATAACATGGAATCAATCTCACATCCCATTATTCATACTCTTTACTCTTGTGAATAGTCCCATTGAAATTGATGAGATTACTTGGAGGAGGAAGGGGCAAGAATACATCCCTGCATAGCTGGATTATGGCCAGGACACCATGGCTAACACCGGGACTTATGGAAAACTTTTAATCAGTGCACATTTAACTCCTTCCTCCGTATATCTTTTTATACTACCAGTCACTTTACTAGCTTTATGCACATACAATTAAAAACTAAAACCCTTTAAAAGAGCAGAAACGCCACGTCTTATTTAAAATAAATGTAAAAAAGAAAAATAACTCATTTGGGAACCAAAATTCTCTGTATAATTAAATGAAACTCCATATAGAAATTACAGTTCAAACCTGATCTAGTTCAGGCTATTCTGTCTTGTTCATATTATTACTGTTTATGCAAATTGCTCCTTGTTGCAGAATAACCTACAGAAAAAAAGGGAAAATCCCATAGCGCTCCCCTTAGGATTGTTTTGTGGATGTTTTCAACAAGGTCCACCTCTTGCAGTCAAGAAGTTGGCCCAAAAGTCCCATAAAAGAAATATGCAAATCTCAGATCACTATATATTCTGTTCTATGATTCTATTAACATTAAAACTAATTCCTACAAAAGTTCCATCTAAATGCTTTATATGCATTTCTTTATGCATAATTGTACCTGTAACAGCCAATATAAGAGTAAACTATATGATCACAGAGGTTTCACCTCACTGTTTTGACCAATAGCGCTCACCTGGGAAGTGGGAGCCCTAGTCCAGGCTCCACTCACCAAGAGGGGATTCAAAGCCACATCAGGGCTAGGGACAGACATTACATAAAAACTGGTTTAAGTGATCAGAAACTGGTTTAAACCTGTAGCAGAACAGATGTTCACTGCACGTAAACTAGTTTGAAAATGGCTGAAACTGGTTTGAGATAAATCTGGTTCAATGTAGTATCAGATTTAACTGATTTGAGTCAAACTGGTTTATGCAATGTCTGTTCCAGACCCTTTGCTTGTTTAAGTTAAATCCCCAGCATCTTGGCATGCTCTCTGGGCTGGGCAGGGCTCTCTGCTCCTCAGCAGGGCTGGCCCCTCCCCTCTGCTCCCTGGCTGAGATTTGCAGCTCCGGCAGAGATTTGCAGGCACAGCAGAGTCTGCTGACTTGCTTGTGCCCTACCCCCTCCTTGCTGCCCAAGCAGGAAATCCCCTCCCCCCCATCTCCCACAGCACAGACCCCAGCCCCAGGGGCCCTAGGCATGTGTATGGTAGCTAATACCGAGAGGTGTGTGCAGAGGCTGCAGAATAGGGTGGGCCACCCAGGCGATGGCCCACCCAATGTTTAACACTGAGATTCAAACACAGCCTCGCTCCCTGCCTGCCTCCCTCACACGCACAGCGGCAGTCACACTCCACCACCTGCAGCCCCACTGGGAGGGAAGAGTGACAGCCCCCTGAAGTCAATGCGCCAGGCCATGCTCCCGTGCATTGGTGCATTGGCTGCAGGGCGCTATAACTCTTCCCTCCAGGTGGGGCTGCAGGCAGCAGAGCACAGCTGCCAATGTCTGTGTGAGGGAGGAAGGGAGGGAGGCAGGCAGGGAGCGGGGCTGTGTTTGAATCATCATACTAAACATTGGTTGGGCCATGGCCTGGGTGGCCACCCTGTTCCATGGCGTGTGTGTGTGTGTGTGTGTGTGCGCGCGCGCACACACTAAACATTGGTTTGGCCATGGCCTGGGTGGCCACCTTGTTCCACAGTGTGTGTGTGTGTGTGTCTGTGTGTGTGCGCGCGCGCGTGCGCGTACACTAAACATTGGTTGGGCCATGGCCTGGGTGACCACCCTATTCCACGGTGGGGGGGTGTGTGTGTGTGTGTGTGTGTGTGTGTGTCTTTCCAATTTCACTGGGACAGGCAGGCAGACAGAACAGGGCTTTTGGAGCTAATCAGTAGATCAGCCAGTAAGCTGTTTAAGAAGTTTGAACTAATGGAGGGAGGCTATTGTTTTGCTAATCAGGTGATAAAGACTCTTATCAGCTTCTGACTGGCTTGCTTGCCTGTCGGTTTGCTGCAGACAGTATGGAGGGAGATTGAAAAAGCATGGAGGGAAACTGAAAAGCTCTGTGTCATCAACAGATGCTTGCATTGCACACCCCCCATGCCTCAGAGTGCTAGCCCAAGGCTGGGGGCTGACAATACTTACACCCCTTGAGCAGCCAGCAGGGAAACCCTGGGGCCATGCTGGCAGACCAGAGAGTCCTAGTGAGAGAGTCCTGCTGGGGCCTGGCCACGCCCCCTCAGCTCAGCTCCCTGCAGAAGAGAAGGGAGGGCTGCTCTAGCACCCCTTGGCTTCTAGTCTGAACCGCTGCAGGCATGTGTCTGAATTTCCTCAGTCCAGGGAGAATGTCTGTCCAGTTTCCAACCAGTTCAGCCTAGCCAGGTTTAGCTAACCTGCAAAGATTGAATCAATTCAGGCTCAGGCTTTTTGAATGTCTGTCCCTAGCCCCAAAGATGCATCAAAACCATTTCCCAGGAGAATTCTCTAGGCAGTGAGCTCTGGCTGGGCAGCAGAGGGAAAGGCAGACACTGTCTGTTGACACTGACCCAGTGGGTACCCAAGAGTGCAGCTTTCATGGGTTTAGGCGTGAGTCTGTATCCTAATGCTTATGGCACTCCCCTGTGAGGAGTGGTGAGGGAGTCCTAGTTTCTGGCTTAAACAATCAGAAATAACCTTGGCAGGTTATTTCTGATTGTTTAAGCCAATGAGCACCTACAGTAAAATGTAAGACCAGCCTTGACATCAGAGACCACAACTTGGGAAGCCCTCCCCGCTGGGAAGTAACTGCCTTACCAGATCATAGAATCACATTCCATCTCAGTGGTTCCCAGGATTGTTGATGCATTATTGAACATTAAACTGTCAGTGATTAAAAACAGAAATAATCCCAGCAAGAAAGAACAAATCCCAAGGCTCCTCACTCCCTTCCAGGGAAGTGCCATGATTGAGCACTTTGCTTGCAGTCCTCTTGGCCCCATTAATCTTGTACTGTTTGCTTCTCAGTGACTACAATTTACTAAGAGATGTGACCTAACCCAAGTGTTATGGCAATCCACTGGGAAGTAGGATATGTAGGTTTGAGTGCCCTCAGGCTGAAAGTGACCTAGAATCCAGGTCACCATAGGCAGATCAAGGATTTTAAAAAGGACAGTACAGGAAAAGCAACCAGTACTGCAAATATAGATATACTCCCCTACTCTCAGCATCCCCCTGACCCCAACAAGATCTGCAGATCACACTGTGGGAGCAGCAGCAGCAGCAGCAGTGGACTTTTAAGAGCCCAAAACAGGTAAGAGTGTGCCCCCTGTAACACTACCCGATACCCACTCCTTTCCTCTCTATTCTCAGCAACACCTCCCCTTCCATC